CAAGGCCGAGAAGGCCACTACAGATGAGGAGGCTACTTAATAGTGGTTATAACTCTCTCTCAACTCTATAACTCCGAAACACGAACCTTGACGAACAAAGCCGCTGCGCAGAGAAACAAGTTGAGCACGGTACCAGGGATATGGTGAGGATTAAACTCGGAATCTCTCGCTTATGAAGCGAGTGTTTTACCACTACACCACTACCGCATTATATATATATATATATATATATATATATATATATATATATATATATATATATATATATATATATATATATATATATATATATATATGTATATATATATATATATATATATATATATATATATATATATATATATATATATATATATATATATATATATATATATATATAAATGTATATATACAGGTGTGACTTTTTAAGATTATATCTCTTTTTGCCAAATTCTTTTTTTGTAATAAAAAAAACAACAACAAATAAACAAAACTTAAAGTCTGAATAAATGAATATTAATTTCAACAAATGTTTAAAGCAAGATTAAATAGATCATAATAATATAAAACCTTTCTGGTTTGCTTTCCTTTCATAAATTGTAGTCATAATGTAGAAATAAAAACATAACTAAAAGTTGTAATTTTTATTAATTTTCAAGTATTTTTTTAAGAAAATTTTCTAAATAAATTGAATTAACAACTCTTTTTTAAATTAGCAACTCTAAGTAATTTCAAACTAGGGTTGTTCGCCGAAAAACAAAACTTGCGAAAATTTCGCATTTTTATCTACCGAATTGTTATTGCGGAAGTTGCACATGCAAAAATGCACATTCCGTAACGCGCTATACGAAAATATAAATAGTAAATAAAATTCCGTAATAAAGCATTGCGAAAGAAAACTTGCGAAACAAATCATTTCGTAAGAATACTTATGAAATAGTTCCTTACGGAAAAAGCATTCCGGAATGTGTAGTTACGAAAAAGACGCAAAAGATTTTATGTTACAATATATTTAAGATATTAACTGTTAACAGTTTAAATAACAAATAATAAAATTATAAAAAAATGTTGTCAAATGATTCTTCAAATGTTTATACAAATATACCTAATATATATATATATATATATATATATATATATATATATATATATATATATATATATATATATATATATATATATATATAGTATATATATATATGTATATATATATATATATATATATATATATATATATATATATATATATATATATATATATATATATATATATATATATATACATTAACGGGATTTTACTGTATATATATGTATATATATATATATATATATAAATATATATATATATATATATATATATATATATATACATATATATATATATATATATATATATATATATATATATATACATATATATATATATATATATATATATATATATATATATATATATATATATATATATATATATATATATATATATATATATATATACACACACATATATATATACACACACATATATATATACACACACATATATATATACACACACATATATATATACAGTAAAATCCCGTTAAGTTGGACTCTCAATGAACAGATAAACAGTATGCCTTTCTTTTTAAAAAGTATAAAGAGGATGTGTGATAAACAATTAAATACATTATTATAAAGAACGAGAGATCTCTCTAAAAGTAAATGATATCAGAAAGAGTAAAAAGAGAAGAAATATATTTGAAACAGCGGGATGTGAACCTGGGTCTACGCGGCCAAATGTCTTAACTGAATGTATGTATATGTATATACGTTTATTGTATGTATATGTATATACGTTATTTAATATATAATGAAGAAACTATATAAAACAGAATTTACAGAAAGAGATACGTATGCAAATAGGATTCTATATATCAGGAAAATGAATAGTAATGTGAACCTTTAGATGCTTATAATTAATATCTGGACTCAAAAACTAGTTACTTTTAATGGAACACAATAGGCTGTAGGAGCCTCAGGGAAATTATATTCAGAAATGGTTATATTAGACTCAGAGTTAGCTAGAAATTATTACAAAGTATTTAGGACAGATGTCTAGTACAAAAAGCAAAAGATTTAAAGCAAAATGATTTATATTATTTGAAAAAGTTGTTTTACGTACATTTTATCATAATTTAAGTAGAACTTAGTAAAGCAAGGGAAACGTGTTGAATTAAGCACAATGAACTCAATCTTAAAAGAATAACTAACAGAAGAGAGGTTGTCACTATTGTGAAGGTGACGAAAGATCTGTAATATTGAACATGGAGGTCAAAAAATGCTATTTTAAGTAAAAAGAGTTTGATGAAAAGTTACAATGACTGCGGGATGCGAACCCGGATCTCTGCGGCGAATTGTCACGTATCTAACTGATTGAACTATACAATCTTGTACTTAAATTTATATCTTATTAAAATTAAAAAACAATATTTTCTAAGATCTATACTTCGAAAAACGTATTCAAACAGGACTCTACATACCTTTAAAATCTGCTAGAACTTTAGTAACGTGCACACTTTTAGAAAGCATATTTCTGATAAAATAGGTATATTTTATCAGAAATATGCTTAAGCTAAAGCATATTTTTGAACCTCTTTTTACTATTTGTTTAAGCATATTCGAACCTGTTTCAAAAATTTCATATGCTTTAAAAAAAAAACATGTATATTCCTACCCATCATTCTAATTTTTAATATACGTAATGAGTTCAAAAAACATCTTTGTATATATTTATTATGGCACGTTTCGTAAGTTTATTTCCGTTAAGAATTCTTTCGTATGTTGTGATCCGAAATACTTTCGTTTCGAAAGAAATTTTATTTTTTATCAATATTTCTAAAAATAAAACCATAAAAATTCAAAATGTTATTATACTGAAAATAAAAATTCATTATAAACATTTTGGGATTTAAAGATGTTAATTTTTACAATTAAAATCAGTCTGGCAAACAAATTTTCTTTATAGACTTCAAAACGTCGTTTGGCGAAAATGTTTATTTCGCAAGTGCGACTTCCGAAACCCCTACTTTCGTATGTTGCAAAATAGTTTTGTTTCGTATGTCAACTTGCGAAATGCTAAATTTCGGAAGTGGCTTTTGCGAAATGAACATCGGCGATTTTAAATGTTTTGTAACATTCGGTACGAAAAAATATAATTCCGTGTTCTCAATCTCCTTACGAATAAATGTTGTTTTTCCGGAATTGCACGAAATCCTCCGGTTAACAACCCTATTTCAAACACATATTTTTTAATTAGCATAGTGCATTGCACTATGCTAATTAAAATTGCAATCTGTAAATGCACTATAATAGTGTTTAATTTGCTCAAAACATTTTCTTGGTTTTCTTAAATTTGATTTTAATAAAGCAATTATTGCAAAAGCTAAAAGAAAAAATTAAAAAAATTTTAAAACAATGTTATGTTCAGGTCTACAGTTCATAATATGTTAATAACATGATTATTATGTGTTAAGAGCAGGGTATTACCTTAATTAAGAGCAGGAAGCTAATATTGCCTGACACTTAAAAGTACATTTTCTCAGTTTTTAGATTAGCTCATAAATTATGAGTACTTAAAAAATCCTTCTAACCAAAATAACTTTTAAATTAACTGTCTGAGATACCAAAATGTGAATTATAATTGTAGTTGTAGTTAAAACTATCAAAGTTCTAAACTGCTGAAACTGCCAAAAATCTCAAATATTCTATTAAAAATTTTATCCAAATAAAGAATTAAATTGATTAACTTTAAAATGTTGCTATTTTTTCTCACCTCCCTAAGGCTGCGAGTTCAAAATCAATCAGTCAAAATCAAGTCATAAATAAGTCAGATCAAAGATACTTACAACAAATCATAAGTACTTACAACAGGTCATAATTACTCGTAACAGGTCATAAGTACTTACAACATATCATAAGTACTTACAACAGATTGTAAATACATACACAGTCAGATGAATGCTACTGACTGATACTACTGCTGTTAAACTTAAAAAATAACTGTTTCTTTTTCTGCAGTTGAATTGTTATAAATAATGTCATGATGAAATATCTATACGAGGGGGCTCTGATACAAATTTATTTATTAAATACTTACAACAGATCATAAATTAAGTGTATTTATGGAAACAATTTTTTATCATGACTCTAATTTTTTATTTTTTTCTAAAAAAAACTATTTTGTTTAAATTCATTTATTCACATTTATAAATTCATTAAATTCACATTTAAAAAATAATTGTAGGTAAAATACATCAGGAAAGTGCTTAAATAAACTTGCAAAACTAAGAGTGATTGTTTGTGTTATTATTAGAAAGTAAGTTTGATTACGTTTGTTATTATTATTTCTTGATCAAAGGTCTTAAGGCTGCTTATTAATTTTTTACTACTTAAAATTTAGGTAGTTATTTCTGTCATAAATAAGTTAATAAATAAATAAGCAATAAATTTTATGCCAACTCAACATTTAAAAAAAAGTTTACTTGATAGGCTGTATTTAAATAAGACAAAAAATCCAATAGTAAATTTATTAAAAGTGATGTTTGGTATTTATTTTTTTTTTTAAAAATTAATATAATACTTAAATCTACCGTGGGAAAAATTGTCTATGTACCAAATTTTAAGACAATACCTCATGTAAAAAATAGGTTGGCATATTTTTGATTTTTCTGCTGATTTGATATGGAGGGTCATAAATCAAAAAAGTGGTGAACAATTTGTTTTGTTTGCTCTTATACCTTTTCAGAATGCCTCAATTTTTTTGTATTAATTATGCCTACCAATTATTTATCACTAATTATCTCTAAGATTTAAACCCTTTTATAAAGTTAATTTTTTATTGGTGCAAAAAAAAATTGGATCTGGTAATATTTAAATTTCAAATATCAGTAAAATTCTTTTATTAGATAAAACTTTAAATATCAGAAAAATTTATTTTATTTTGTTTATTTTTTATTATTATATTTTTATTTTATTTGAAGAGCAAAGCAAAAAAAGCAGTTAATAAAGACATTGATGACTCCAGCGCAAAACAAATGACAATGAAGCAGGTAAGTTTGATTTTAGCAATAATTTTTAACATAAATAGCTATCTAACTTTTATTTTTCAAGGTATAAACACATAAAATATATTTACAATACATAAATTACAGTTTGAATATAATCTAGCAGGTGCCTTTCATTCATGGAAATATGCTAAAATAGTCTTAACTATTACTGATAAATTAAAATCATAAACTAAAACATAAAGACAATTTCTATATATTTGTGCCTTTAAAGCATAGTTCTTCCATTAAATCATATATATATATATATATATATATATATATATATATATATATATATATATATATATATATATATATATATATATATATATATTTATGGCCTACTTTATACATGGCCGGATATGTTGCATAAATAGGCCGAAAATTAGAAGGCTAGTTTTTCAATATTACAAGTTTTTGGGATTTAAGTTTAAATAGGTTTACATATAATTCAATTTCTAGGTTTTTTAATTTAAGTTAATAAATATATTATTATTATTTAAATTAAAGATAGATTTATATAGTAAAATATCTTTTCGTATTGGTTTTTACTTATTTAAAAACGTTTAGGTTGATTATATTAATAACATCTAGTAGTTTTTTTTTCAATTTGTTTATTTGATTTTCGTAGTTCTCTTCACATAAGTTTTTTTTTTGAACAACCTAATATTTTAAATATAAAATTAGGAATATAACTATTTTTAAACACATTTTTTTACCGTAGAGATTTCAGGCAAAAATCAAAAAATACTAATAGCAAGTTTCATCAAGATTTCATATAAAAATATATCTATTTACCTGTATATCTAAATATATCTACATACCTGTATATCTATATATATCTATATATATATATATATATATATATATAATATATATATATATATATATATATATATATATATATATATATATATATATATATATATATATATATATATATCTATATATATCTATATATATCTATATATATCTATATCTATATATATATATATATATATATATATATATATATATATATATATATATATATATATATATATATATATATATATATATATATATATATATATATATTTATATATACACACTACTAGTGCTTGATTTACAGGTACATTTTTTTTTTCCCCTCGTTAATCGCAATTTTTATTTCTCTATTTTTACTTTATTTTTCATAAATGTTCTTTTTTTTATATTTTTATTTTATGTCAATTTTTATTTAATCATATTTAAATTTATTATTTTCGTAAAAAAATTTATTTTTTATAAATATTTTTATTATTTTTATTTAATTATTATCTATTATATTTTATATTTTTGTATATATATTTACAAAAACGATTATTTAAATTCAAATAACTAACCCTAACCCTAACCTTAACCCTAAGCCTGACCTTGCTGCCTGGCCAAACCAAACCCTGAGTCGATGTAGCAGCACTCCCTTGCGAGTCAGGCTATTTGTCAGTCGATGTATATACTTTTCGCTTTGCATAAAAACTATTTACGGGGACATTTTTTTACAAAAAAAAACGCTACTTACGAGGACAAAAAATTATCTAGTACACTAAAGAGAAAGAGAAACAAGAGAAAGCCACTTTAAACGATCCTAACAAATAAAGCTATGGTTCAAGTTATATTCATATAAAATATATTCGCTAACTTTTCTGATGTCAAGAATTTCTATTGTAAGTAAACTTTTTTTTACTGCATCAAGCAAAGCAAAGCAAATAATAACATGATTTGCAAGCAATTTTGAAGGAGTTATGAGACCTCCTCTGGACAGTAGTTCAATATATTTTGTATTTAAATCAATGAGATCACTTTTTAGCAATAAAGAACATAATTCACATTTAACTTTTTTGAGTAATTTTCTGCATATAAAAATAGCAAGTTCTTTACTGTTCTCATCTAAATCACTGAATATCATTAATAAAAAGTTCAGAAATCGAATTTATATTTACAACTGACTTGAAAGTTTTTAAATCCATTTTCAAAAAGTCAAATTTTTCTTTTAATAATGATCTCATTTGCAAAAAATTTTCAGAAGTTATTACTTCACGTAATCCAACAAGAAATCTGCCACCACTCATTTGACGATACTTTGAAAAATGTTGCTCCAATGAAAACTTTGGAAACGAGAAGTTAGAACATAATTATATCCTTCAAATAGAAGATCTTCAATTAAACTAGAAGTACTTTGCAGTGTTACAATAAGGGCTTTAGAAAGCTGAGCTGAGCTGAGTGAGCTGTAAGAAAATATCTTTCGGTGGAACTGTATTGCGAATTTTGCCACTGATCAATCCAGTGAGCAAATGCACGTAAAAATTGTGGCTTACTGTCTCCCATAACAGATGCATTTTCAAACTCATGATTAGAGTATTTCTTTTTAGAATAAGATATTACCCACCATAAATTAACAAGTTTTAAAAATTCTGATGCTGAAAATTTATTAGGAAAATAACTTTGAATTGCTGCAGATGTTGTTTCATGGAATATATTTAATGCTAGGTTGACAGCTTGTTTATTGTTACCTGGATATAATATCTTTTCTCCTAGTTTTGATGCCTTTCTAAAGTTTGCTGATAGAGTTTCATCTTTTTCATGCACTCTATGAAGCAATCCCCAAGATATATCACCTGCAGAGACTTTTATATTAAAAATGTAATATATATATATATATATATATATATATATATATATATATATATATATATATATATATATATATATATATATATATATATATATATATATATATATATGTATGTATCTATATATAAATGTATGTATGTATGTATTTGTATATAAATTACTTGGGTTAAGACTCAATTAGAAATGCGCAAAGCTATTGAAGAAGATCCATCAGTTTATGAGTATGATGAAATTTATGATCAATTGGAAAATAAAAAAAAATTGGAATCTGCAAAAGTTGAAGCTGTTGAGAAAAAGTCGAAATACATAAATAAATTAATGAAAAGTGCTGAACAGAGAAAAGTTGAAGACGAAAGAAGAAAAGAACGAAAGGTTTGTTTTGTTTTTTATCAAATTTATTAGTGTGTTAACGCTAGTAAGAGTAAAAATGTTTTTTAAAGATAATGGCACACATTATTCATTAGGATTTTCATAATTTCAATGGCACTTTTTAATTGTAAAACAATACTGTTGTTGTATTATTGTAAACAACGCCATTGCTACCTGTAGTATTTGTATTGTCTATTAATACTTGTAGTAATTGTAAAACAATACTATTGTTGTACTATTATAAACAACCCTGTTGCTACTTGTAAGAAATAAATAGACCGACTAAGGACTGACTTTTTTTTTAATAATATAAATACAGTAAAATATATAATTTTTGATGTTTATAAATGTTAAGTACACGTAAATTTGTTTGTAGTAATTTAAATAAATTAGTAAAACATTTTCATACTTAAACAAGTAATGAGGATAGCCACTTCTTGTTGTTGTTAGATTTATATAATTTTTTTAACATGGAGCAGTTTTTTGAGGGCATGTTACAAAAATTATTCTTGTAGCTAAATGACACAAGATTTTTTTTTCCAACCCCTCTTTTTATAGTTTTTCTTGTATCTTGATCAATTTAAAAATTGAAAAATAGAGCTGCAAGTTACTTAAAAATGAGGCACAATCTTAAGAATGGGTCACTTAATGACCACTTAAGACCACTTAAGACGTCCACTTAAGGTCTGCTATCATGAAACTAATGATTGGGTCTGCAATCATGAGACTAACGAATGGGATAAGATTGTTAATACAAAAATAATACTGAAATTTTGTTTAATTGTCTTGCAATCATATGCTAATTTGCATCAAATTAGCATATGATTGTATAATTAAATATAATTTATCATAGCATTTTTCAATACAACATGTTATTTATCTTTTATTTAAATAAAATATTTTAATTAATTTTTATTTTGTTTTTTGTAATCTAGGTTCAAAAAGAACAGGAGGATAAAGATGGAGAGTTCGAAGATAAAGAAGAATTTGTTACATCTGCGTATCTTTTTTAAAGTTTTTATTTTTTTTTTATTTATGAATTTTTAGAAAAAAACAGTTTTAACATGTTGTAGTTGTTGCTGGTCTTAACAAAATAACTTTAGTTACCGTCAAAAAATGGAAGAGCGAGCCATAGAGGATGAAAGAATTCGAAAACAAGATGAAAAGGATGGTATATCTTGTTATTTCCTAATCTTTAATTGAGTATAATTGAAACTAATAACTAACATAAATATAAAATATATTTTGAGAAACATATTTGAGACTTGATTTTTCAGACTGAATAAATATTCCTTTTAATTTACATGCCCCGCTTTTTGAAACAAGGCATATAAATTAAAATAACACAGGGCAAGTGAAACAGGGTTGGGGTTTGAAAAATCATGTTTTATACATGCAGGAGTTAATTTAAAAAAAAAATGAGTATAAAATTTAAATAAATTTTGTGCATTGCATAAATGTGTGCTCCTTTAAGGCATTTTCTGTAACTTTGTCCAAAATTTCTGGTCTCCAGACCATCTAAATTAATTTAAAATAATAAACTGCGGTCGGTTTATTGTTAATAATAAACTATGGTTGGTCTATTGTTAACTTTGATGATCAAGTTCTTACATTAATAAATTGAAATAAGCGCTTTGAGTCATTACAATGTGCTGATAATTTTCAAAATAAAGTTCGACGACTTAAGCTCGTTGTTTTAAAATGTCTTACTTAGTTTTGTAAAGTTTTATTTATATTTAAAAATAATTACATTTTTCTAGTAGTTTAATATTTTGAGAAAATATAAGATACTATTTCATTAAATTAAATTACTCAAGATTACTTTCGTTCCTTAAGCGCCACACTGAAGAAGATGCGGGTGTTGTTAATTTTCAATTATTATTCATTGTTTTTTTGTTAGGTTTTGTTTTTTTATTTTAGCTGCTGCCGAAGTTACTAAGCAAAAAGACCTCAGCATGTTTTATAGAAACTTGTTGACAAAGAACACAGCTATGGGTGGTAGTGGAGAGAAAGTAATAGAAGAAAAAAATGAAACGAAACCAACCGATATAAAAGAAAAACAACGTAAAATAACGAAGAATGACAGTAGTGACGAAGAGCATCTTGAAAAGTTGAAAAAAAAGAACTATCGTTCAAAAAAAAACAGTGATAGCAGCGACAGTGATACCGACGTCAAAGCAGTAAAAAAATTACCTGAAAAAATATTATCAAAAGATCTAGACAAAAAGCGCAAAAAGTTGAATGGCAAAGAAAACTTAAGGAAAAGAAAAAAGAGCGAGTCTACTTCAGAAGACGAAAGATATGACGAAAAGAGAAATAGTTCTAAGAAGCACTGTTCTTCGGACGAAGAGAATCAAAAGGTTAAAGACAAAAAAAAAGTTAAAAAAAAAAAATATGAAAGCGATTTATCGACCGACGAAAGTGATGCCAAATCAAAATTGTCTAAAAAAGGAATCAAAAAACGAAAGTCTCGTGATCACTCCTCTAGCAAAGATAGAGCAGTTAAATCAAAAAAAATACGCAAAAGTCGTGACAGTAGCTTTAGTAGTGATTCGAGCAGCGATGAATCTACGTACAAAAAAACGAAAAAAAGGTACTCTAGCGAAAGATCGTCGGACGAAACAAAAAATAAAAATTCAAAAACGAAAATAGACAAAGTTAAAAAAAAAGACTCCGGAAAGCACAAACGCAGAGAATCTGAAATTAGCAAGTCTGATCATAAAGAACATGATAAAAGTAAAAACGACCGCAAGAAAGCACTCAAATGCAGCGATTCAGACGTCGAAAAAGAAGAAAAAAAGATTGATCCGCCTAAAAAAGATTTAAAAAAAAACATTTTCGAAAAACGTAACAATGCGGAAACAATTCATGCAGCTAGAACAAGATATTTAGCACGAATGCAAAAGTTAATTGCTGAAAAACATGCCGCTAGGCGTGACTTAGAATGAATTTTAATTTTTAGACAATTTATTAACAATCTAGCATAATTACGTTACGATCGGAATCCAATCGAATATTTTACGGATTGATATAAATTTTTTAAACTTGCATTTTTTGTCAAGACCTCAAAGTTCTTACTAGAAAACCTATAGTATGCAACTAAGTTATTTCTCTTCTGGATTAAACCTAAATGTCGTTCAATAGAAAAGATTTTTATATTAATGTTATTTGTTTTTGTTGTTTTTTTAAGAAATTAAGAAGGAAGTATCATCGATAAAAGCTATACGAAACCCGCCTGAGTTCGCCTGAGAATACCCGAGAAAAAAAACCCGGCTAATCCTGCTAAGTTCCTAATACTAAAACTTAGTAAGTTCCCACCGAGTACTTACTAGGAACTTAGTAGGATTAGCAGGTTTTAGTAGGAAACTTAGTAGGATTAGCAAGTTTTAGTAGGAAACTTAGTAGGATAAGCAAGTTTTTATTAGGAAACTTAGTAGGTTTAGCAAGCTTTTAGAAGGAAACTTAGTAGGATTACTAGGGTTTTTATTCGGAACTTAGTAGGTACTTAACAGGATTAGTAGGGTTTTTTTCTCGGTTAAGTATTACTTTCTAGTTTTAGTTAATAGTTTTTTTAGTTACATTCATATTTTTATTAGGGTTTTATTTAATTATTTGAGTTTTAAAAATTTCATAGTTATATTAGTAGGGTTATTTTTCAAGAAATATACGAGTTTAAGTAAAAATAATAATTTTTGCTTAAACACAGATTCTTTTTGAAAATATAATCCTTCTAATATAATTTAACTTGTCGCTAAGCAATAAGGACGCTTATTTACAAAACAATAATAAAAATAACAAATAATAAAGTGTTAGATTGTTTAACTAAAACATTTAAAAAAATTCAATAAACAGCGATGGTCAGTTCTTTTGGCAATTTCGCAGGTGCCAGTGGAATAATTGCACCCTTAAGATTTGTCTTAATCTTTTACGACCATAACTGTAGCTATAGCGTAATTTAAAAAAATATTAATGCAATTCAACAACCTAATAACATATATTTTACAATAAAAAAGCATATTTTACTCACCATAAATTAAGAACGATGAAAAACTTTCATTATCATTGTTTCAAAGCTATTATAATCTAAAATTTAAAAATAAAAGTGTATGAAGTTAAATTATATTAAAAAAATTTAAATAAGCCCTGTGTGTGTGTGTGTGTGTGTGTGTGTGTGTGTGTGTGTGTGTGTGTGTGTGTGTGTGTGTATATATATATATATATATATATATATATATATATATATATATATATATATATATATATATATATATACAAACACACACTCAAAACATTACAAGTTCTTCATTTAAATTCAACATGAATAATGAATAATTATTTATAACCACATTATATATAAAGAAACAGAAAATTAAATAGTTACCTGAAGCTGATTGATTGTACATGGTTTGAGATTGAACTAAACATATTGTGTGTTTATATATATATATATATATATATATATATATATATATATATATATATATATATATATATATATATATATATATATATATATAATATATATATAATACACAATTATTAAATATTACTAAAAACTTTAGTAACTAGCATTATATAACTATACATAGTAGTAATTAATGTAAATATCCTAAAATTTAATTATAGAAATTTTAAATTAATATATATTATGGCATTTATAACAAAAATCTTAATGTAAAGTAAATAAAAATTATAACATAAAATATAACAATATTCAATAATTTTATAGTTTGTTTAACATGTTAAAAAGAAATGTTAAATCTTGTTAACAAGAGATAACAATAAAAATAAAAATATATTTACCAGTAAAAAATGTTTATATATATTTTATAAAAAAGTGATTTCAAGATTGACCAATTTTTAATATCAAATGATTTACTCCCATTTAGTCTGAGTAAAATTTTTAGTCTGACTAAAACTTTTAGTCAGGCTGCAAACCACGCAATCATCCCCAGATGTTCTTGAGCTTTTTTCCTATAGAATTATAAATATTATTTAGTAAAACTATTGAATCTAAAAAAGCTGTTTAAGAACTGACTTGTCTTCCGTGTGAATAAATAAAAGACGGCGTATAACAAAGACGATTTTTTATACTTGTTTTATTTTTGAAAACTTACTAGGAACTTACTAAGTAATTCGTTTAATCCTGATAAGTACTTAGTAGGAACTTACTAGGATTAGCAGAAAATTCATAAACGTCATTTGACTAATGGGAAACTTAATAGGTTTAGCTGTATTAAGTGAAAACTTACCAGGATTAGCGGTATTAGCAGAAACTTAACAGGATTAGCAGGAAGTTAAACAGATTCCTAGTAGTATTAGCCGGGTTTTTTTTCTTGGGATAAGCTTAGTTTTTGGGACTTTTAGGCTTATTAGGCGCTAATTTAAATGATTTATTACTACTTTAGATCTTCTGTGATCTGAGCTTCTTTCACCGAGATCTTCTCAGTCCTTGCTCTTTCTATCTTGCTGAAATGTTTTTTCTAACTGAACTTTGCCAAATTTTGTGCTTGCGGAAAAATTTCCATGTTTGTTCATACATTGTTATTAATAGGGATTATCTTTTTCCGGATATTTTCAGAATTTTGGATATTTTCTTCAACTTTTAGTTTTTCCAGATATCCAAAACGTTTTCCATACAAACAAGTAAGGTATAAATTTTTGTAACACTTCTTTTTTAACCTTTTTCACTCATCACTCATACAAAACTAAGAAAAGTTTAAAAAAAATTAGAAACATTTTAGCTAAAAGCAAAATTAAGAGAAAAACATACTCCGGATTTTTCCCGTATATTTTACTAAAATAATTTTCTGGATTTTTAAAATATGGTCTGGATGATCTATATATTAGAGTTGCGGGAAAGTTCCCTTTTTACATTGTTATTAAAGTTTTATAAAATGGATCAAATGTTTTGTTTGTTTGAAATAACTATATTACTAGAAATGTCATTGAAACCAGGTAGCCTAACGCATTTTAAAGATTCAATTAAACAATAGATAATTCAAGTAAAAAGTATTTTTTAAAAGTATAATTCAGGCACTGGGTCGTTAAACCATGCATAATTTGGCTCTTAAGGTTTGAAAATTACATGATTTGTTTCTTGTCACATAGTTCAATCTACAAAAACTTCAACTTACTAAAATGATCTATAAATAGAAGCATCTTTTAAGTAGAAATAATTTTTCGATGTTCCACTCAGACCTAAATTGTTTTCAAGCAATTAATTATTTTATTTTCGACCAATTTATGACGCACTCGTTTTCGACCAATTTAATTTCCAACCGTTTTTAGAGATTTTCATATTCAACCGATTTGAAATTTAGTTTAATTTTTAACCGGTTGTAGGTGATATTTATTTCAAACTACTAGTCTGTGTTTTTTAACGTGTTCATTTTGCACTTTTAGGTTATTTTTTTTTAAACCATTAACAATAAATCAGTATTAGACATGTATGACCTCATACTGAAATAGCTTGCTGTTAGTGGCAGCAGGCTATTTCAAACATACACAAACTTTTAGCTAGCTGCCGGTAGGAGTATACTGCTATATCAACTAAGTGTTTGTGTCGTGCAGCAATTTTTTCTTTTACTGTTTACCGTTTTTTTCTTTTTTTTTACTTTATTAGCCGTATGCTATAAAGATAAGAAAAAATTGCAAGTAATTGCTGATATAGATAAGCCAACCAAAAAAGATACAAAATACATACAGGAAAAGACTTAATTATAAAGTCAATCGGAAATACAGTTGATTGAAAGTTCAGTCGATAATACAGATTATACAATAGATTGAAAATTCAATTGATCGAAAATTTCATTATGTTGAAAAATTAGTTGTTCATGTTTTAATTAGATGATCAAAATCATAAATTTTTACGATTTAAAAAATTTTAAAATTAGGTTCAGTTATTGGCCGTAATTTGTTTGAACATATGTTTTTTAGTTATGAAAAATTATCTCCGTAGGGCTAATGTAAGGTGAAAATGAAACTGGCACAAAGTTTTCCATTTAAAATTTTTAAAAGTTTCTTTTTTTGAGTGTTTGTTTGCATCTATTAGTCATTGTACAATTTTATATATCCAATAAAAATAATTTTCACAAATTTACAATATTAAACATTATAGCAAGGTACCTGAAAGAAAATTATGAAGATCATGTTGTCAGGATCATAAACTAGCATTTAACAAAAATAAAATATAAAACTTTTACAGAACAACAATATATAAATAATACATAAACTATGTATCTGGAGTTAAACGTAGGGTAAAGTCGGGTAGCCCCGGACGGCGGTTAGCCACGGACAATTGTGTACAGCTAAAATTAAAGAAGCTATTTGGTTTTGAATCATAAAACATTCTTATAGTTATTTTAATACATATGTTTACAGGGTTATTCATTCTTATATGCGCGTCTGTTCATTTTTATATGCGCCTTTATTCATTCTTATATGCGCATTTATTCATTTTTATATGTGGTTTATAAAAGCAATTGTAAAAAAGCAATTTGAACCCAAAAAAATCATTTAATAAAATCATTGAAACAACAGTTTATTATTTCAAAGTAAACTTTTCTTATTTCCTAGTAAACGAGTTTAAAAATACTTAAGACGAAGACTTTTTACATTCGATGATGGGTTATTTAATTTAGTATTAGTTCTTAGTTTAATTTTATTACATTGTACTAAATTGTATTATTGTATTAAATTTCTTGATTGATTAAGTTATTTTTATCTAATTATTTATTTTTCTAGATTTATTATTTAATTATTCATAATTATTAATACCAAATTTTTACCCTATGGATGGAATAGAAAATAATTGTAAAACAAGGAAAAATGTTACAAAAGAGCACATTGAAATGCTTAAGCATTTAGATGAAAGAAACCAATCTACAACGTACATTCCCACTTCTCTTAATTTATCGAAGCGCACAGTTCAAAACCTTGTCGTTAAGTTAAACAGAGGAGAATTCGACGACATGACTGCATTCAAGTTGTCTTCTGATAAAAAACGAGGTGAAAGACCTATAAACGCTCAAATAAAAAATATTATCGAATTATGCGTACAAGAAAACAATCTTTGCACGCAAGAAGCAATAAAAGAAAATCTTTCTGCCGCAGGCTTCAACATGTCTCAGCCTACTATTTCAAGAAAACTCAAACGCTTGGATTTATCAAGAAAACGTGTTGTGCATGTGCCAGAAGAACAAAATTCAACACGAATTATTAATGCACGCTATGCATTTGCAAGCGAAATTAACGGAATTTCAGATGAAAAACTTATTTATTTGGATGAAACTGGATTTAATGTGCACACTAACAGCACATATGGTTATTCGCTAAGAGGTGCGCCAACAGTTTTACAGTCACCTGCAAATCGTGGCAAGAATGTTAGTTTAATTTGTACTGTTTCAACAATGAGAGTGCTTGCTTATGAAACAAAAACTGGAGGCTGGAATGCAGATTCATTTTGTACTTTCATAACTACAATGATGGCACCAGCAATTAGGAATGCAAATGTGGAAGCGCCAGTGCTTGTTATGGACAATTGTAAATTCCACTGGAATCTTTCTGTTAGGTAAACACTAGCCTCTCATGGTATAGCTATTAAGTATCTGCCAGCTTACACACCAAAGCTTAATCCAATAGAAGAATTTTTTTCTTTTTAAAACATACTTACAAACAGGGAGAAAGGCCTCGAACTATGGATGAGGTAATCAGGAAACTTTAAAATATTATGGATACTACAGAGTTTAATATAGTTCCATTTTACAACCATATGCGTAGTTATATAAATTCAGCGCTGGCTCGGCAACCATTTCTTAAATAAATAACAATGAAAACAACCTAATTTATATTTTAAATATATCTTTATAAAAATTTAAAAGCGTATTTATCGTTTATATTAAATTATATTAGAGATTTTATGGGTTGTTGACGCATATACAAACGCGCATATAAGAATGAATAAATACGCCTATAAGAATGAATAAATGCGCATATAAGAATGAATAAAGGCGCATATAAAAATGAATAAAGGCGCATATAAAAATGAATAAATGCGCATATAAGAATGAATAAAGGCGCATATAAAAATGAATAGACGCGCATATAAGAATGAATAACCCTGTAATATCTGCCCCTATATTCCAAAGCAATAACAGAATAACATCAGAGTAAAAATGCATTATTATATTTGATTTTTTTGCATGCATTTAACTTTTTATTTATTTATGATAAAAATTTTATTTAAAAAAAAATAGTTATGTTTTATACTTTTATAATTAGTATTGGAAACAATAATTTGAAATTAGGTATGAATAAGTGGTACTGGACACAACTTATTCCAAATTATTGTTTTCAAAGTTGTTTTTCAGTTTATACTCTCGTTCATTTGGTTATATATATATATTGGGGCGGATGGAGCATTTTTTGATTTTTGAGATGTCTAATATATATATATATATATATGTATATATATATATATATATATATATATATATATATATATATATATATATTATATATATATATATATATATATATATATATATATATGTATATGTATATATATATATATATATATATTATATATATATATATATATATATATATATATATATATATATATATATATGTATATATATATATATATATATATATATATATATATATATATATATATATATATGTATATGTATATATATATATATAATATATATATATATATATATATATATATGTATATATATATATATATATATATATATATATTATATTATATATATATATATATATATATATATATATATATATATATATATATATATATATATATATATATATATATATATATATATATATAATGCATAATAGGCTTTACAACTATCTCACAACTTACAAAGTTTTAAATAATAATCAGTACGGATTTAGAAAAGGACACTCGACAGAACATGCAGTAATTAAATTAGTTAAAGAAATATTAAATGGGTTTGAAAACAACCAATATACTCTTGGAGTGTTTATTGACCTCTCTAAGGCCTTTGATACTGTGGACCATGATATTCTTCTTTACAAAATTGAAACTTATGAAATCAAAAATAATAATTTTAAATGGTTTTGTTCCTATCTAAAAAATCGCAAACAATGCGTAACTTATGACAAAACCTACACTAAATTAGAAAACATTACCTGCGGAGTTTCACAGGGATCTATTTTAGGGCCTTTGTTGTTTATTATTTATATCAACGATATTTACTTATCATCTAGTATACTAAACTTTAATCTTTTTGCTGATGACACTCAAGTTTTTTATACTCACTCTAACATTAAGATAATCTTTACCACTATGAATAGTGAACTTGATAACTTTAATGAATGGTTTAAAGCCAACAAACTCTCTCTGAATCCTACTAAAAGCAAATATACTCTCTTTTCTAAATCCTCTAAATCTGAAACGCTGCCTTTAAAACTCCCGGATATTTTAATAGAAAAAACCAAGTTACAACGGACATACTGCGTTAAATTCTTAGGCGTTTTAATCGATGAGCAAATAAATTGGAAAGAGCATAGAAAATAAAATTTCAAAAAGTATTGGAATCATGTATAAAGATATATGTTGGATAAAAACTGTTTAAAATCTATTTACTTTTCATTTATTCATAGCTATATTAGTTATTGTAACATTGCTTGGGCAAGCACTTATCCGTCAAGACTAACTTGTATCTTAAAAAAACAAAAACAGGCAAACCGCTTTATATTAAATGTTAATAAATACGCCAGTGCCAATCCACTGCTTCGTAAGCTTGGAGTACTGAATGTTTACCAATTAAATATCTATAATATTCTTTTATTCATGTTTAGATTAAAATATCATATGCTACCTAATATTTTTGAAGACCTTTTCTTTATTATAGATCATAAATATCATACAAAGCATTCATTACTTAATTATCAGGTACCAAAAACTTTGTTAAAACAATCTGAATTCTCAATAATTTACCGAGGGTCACATTTGTGGAACTCATTTCTCCTAAATAATAGTAAAACTACAGCTTCAATCCAAACTTTTAAAAGTATCTTAAAAAATAGTTACTTGATTATGACGTATCTCAAATATTATTTTATTTCTAATTTTTATTTTGTCCTCTCTTATTTTTATTTCGTTAACTTTTCTTTTTGTTTAAAAAGCGGCATCACACTTTATATCATTACTTATCTTTATATTTGTATTGTATATATATATATATATATATATATATATATATATATATATATATATATATATATATATATATATATATATATATATATATTAGCTAATGAAAAACTAAGGTTTTTTAGTTTATTTTTAAAAATAGCGAAATGTAATAGCTAGATTAAAATCAATATTTAGCGATTAGCAATATAAAACAATTTATAAATCAAAAACTTTAGGAGACGGCATGTAAAAATTTTTTTAACTTATGTTTTCTCCTCACCCTTTTTGATTATAACTTTTTAAATATAGTAGAAAAACATCATTTTGAGGTATATGACATAATTAATAACTCGATTTTTTCAAGAAAATGGAGATAAAACAAAATAATTCTAACCTCGCGATTTGACAAAACGGTTTTATTTCAAAGGTGTTAGGCAATTCAAAATTGAGTAAAGTTTATTTTGACAAAAATTTTTATATAAAAAATTATTATTTTAGCTTTCAAAACCTATATATTGATAGAATTCAGAATAAAAAGATTTTTAAAGACGGCTAAGGATGTATATATATATATATATATATATATATATATATATATATATATATATATATATATATATATATATATATATATATATATATATATATATATATATATATATATATATATATATATATATATATATATATATACATAATTTTTTCATATATATGCAAAATCTATTGAATTTAGGCGACTAATTTTTGCAAACTGCGAGAAAATCGGAAAAAGTGCAAAAGTTGGTGCACCCTTAAAAATTAACCAAAAAGCTATTAATTTTTCTTTTTTATTTATTTTCTGGTGGCATTTAGTTACATTAGTTTCTAGTAATTATTTTTTTGTAGGAAAAGAGGAGAGTGTGGGGGGGGGGGTATTTTGCTCACTTAGCCACGAGTGATTTTTTCAGTGTTGTTATCCTTAAAATTTATTACTATTATTATTATTAATGTATTTTTTTTAATACTCGATAAGAGTTGGATACAATACCGTTAAGAGTTTTATTTACAATAATTTTAATAACCAATCCTTCTTACGCTCCTCGAGCTGTTGTTGTTGTATTTTTTTTTTTTTTTTGTAATTTTTTTTTTCTTTTTTTTGTAATTTTTGTTAATTTGTATTTCTCTCTCCGTTTGCTCAACTATTATTCAGTATCTGATGGCCAGTTACAACAAATCGTCTCTGACCGATTTGAACATTTGGATTTCTTTGGGAGTTTCTCCCTAGGTACGATCTCCAAATAGGTCGTAAAATGTCATGGTATCTTGGGAGCTAACTCCCAAGATACCATGACATTTTTTAAAAATATTATCTATAGAGGATCAAAGGTTATATGCCAGTCAAGGGTTATTCCTAACAATTTAACTGTTTTTACTGATTAATTATACAACCATCAGCTACCATCAATAAATTACCCGGCAGTTTCCTTCTAGGGTTCTTAAATATTATAAACTGCGTCTTTTACGAATTTATCGTGAGGCCATAATAGGCACAGAAATCTTTGGTTTTATAAAATATAGTTGTTAGTGCATTCGAGTCCGCATCTTCCTCAGAGTGGGTAATATCGTCAGCAAACTGAGCTGTATAAGAATTAGAGCAAGTTGGAAGATCTCTAATGTAAATATTAAAAAGTTTAGGACTAAATCCCTGAGGAAGTCCATATGACACTGGCTTTAACTGATTTACTTGATTGGCCTGAACGAATCGGATAAATAGCTGTTTAACCAGGATATTGTGCTCAAGCTACAGCCTTTTTTAAATAGTTTGTTAATAAGAAGTTGGTGTGGAACGGAGTCAAACGCTTTAGACAGGTCAACCATAATACTACCTGCAAATTTACCCTGATCAACGCTACGCATACAAACGACCACAGCATTTATAAAAGCATACTCGCAACTCGATTTCTCTCTGAATCCATATTGTTCTGGAGGAATTGTCTTATTCACATCACAAAAAGAAGACAGTTGTCAAGCTATTATCTTTTCAAACATCTTTCCTAATACGCAAAGTAATGAAATAGGTCTATAATTCTCAGGTTTTGATTTCGATTCTTTATTTTTCCAGACCGCTACTAAATTAGCTTCTTTCCACATTATTGGAAAATAGTTATCTTCAATGCTTTTGTTAATAATTGTTCTTATGTTTGGCGAAATAGCTGCAGCTTATTTTTTTAAAACAAATGCTAGTAGACCATCGTACCCAGTCGCAGTTTTTTCCTTCAGGTTTGCTAGATTTTGGTATACTATTTTGCAATCAATTTTTTTAATACTGAATAAATCTTTATTCTTGCACCGACTCTTCATTTTTTTGGGAAGAAAAACTTCTCTTAACGCTATCTACGCTAACTACGCTATCTGAAATCTTATTTTTATTATGTAACGTAATGATACAAGACTTGTATAATGTCCCTCCAGTACAATACCTTTAGAGTTTGTAGAGGCTTTTAACATATTTGCAGAACATTTTAGATAATGCCTTTTATAAACTTAGTTCATGCAAAGAATTTTTCCAAAGTTTTTAAGCGATTTTTAAAAACAAATGGATCCTTTAGCAACAATTTATTGCAGTTTGTTCCTGATAGTCATCAGGTTTCTCAATATGAAGTTGCCCAGATGTCTAAATTTATCAACAACTGTTCAAAAGTCTTTGTAATAACAGGTGCTGGGGTTTCAACAGAATCAGGTTTGTAAAATCTTCTCCATAATATTTGAAGTTTTTTCAATTTTAAATTTTTTAGAATTATTTTATAAAAATTTTATATGGTATTTCAAAAAACTTCAAGTTGTTTAAGTATTAAGGTGTTATATATCTTTAGAAAGAACCTCTAAATTGTATAAAATAAGTGAAAGCTTAAAAAATGAATCTCCACTAAGTAGAAATTCAATTTTGTTTAGTTTTGTCAACAATATGAAGTTTTAAATTAAAATTTTAAGAGACTTTTAGAAGTAGTCCACTTCTAAAAATATTTTAAAGAGAGCAAAATAGATATATTATAAGCATACCAGAGTTTGCTGGAGGGGGGATTAGCTATTTGTTTTGATCAAATGTATTTTATATGTATCCACTTTAAATTTAAAACTTCATATCTTTTTTTAAAAAATGGTGTAATAGGGTGTAATAGTTTACACTTACCAAGTTGCATAGATTTTTTTGTATAAACGAATTTATTAAATATAAAAATTTTATTTCTAATTTTCAAATTTAAGTATGTTAACTAAGAACTAAGTTTTTATAATCCCAAATAAACCTAATATCTTGAATAGATAATCATTTATTTATTTTTCTAATAATATTTTTGAGAGAATTGTGCCTGTGTAAAAATTTTTTTTATATAAAGAGTTTGACTGCCTACTAGAAATTAGCCTATAAGAAATTGTTAAAACATCTATAGATCAAGCTAACTGGTTCATTACGGTATCCCCAAATTACAACCTTTTCACAAAATCAAAAGATTCAAAACATCCTGGTTATATATCTTAAAGAAAATATACATGTTGAATTTAGGCCTCTAAATCTTTTGGAAATATTAGATGTAGATTTTCGTTTTTCTCAAAAATATTTTTATTATTGTTTAAAAACTGATACAAGTTGTAAAAAAAAAAAGTTATTTAAATTTAAAAATTATTTTATCACTGGCTTTTCACATTAATGTCTGCCAGAAAATCTTGAAACAGGAAAATATTTATTTCAAAGCACTGGATATAGCACACATAGTCTTTGAAAAACTTGAAACTAGAATAGAGATATACTATGAAGATATCTTAAAACAGTATATCTTGGATACTAAGATTTAATATGAAAAAAAGATACCAGCTGTTTTTTCTGAAAAACATATATAGATAATTGTCAATGACTATGTCTTTTATGATCTCAAGTTTATTTTAAAGTAAGATATATTCTCTGGATAGAAATACTTGATAAGTTCCCGTGTCATTAAGGATTTATCTACGTTAGTTATGACTAGAGCTGTGAGTAAAAAAACCTTTAAAAGAGTACAGTGAGTTAATATCCTAATTATATACATAAAAGTTTTTAAGACCATTTTTTGTTAAATTTGCAAACAGTTCTTTTTTGATGCTTTAGCCTTTCTTGTTAGTGCTTGAATATAATGACAGATCTATCTCTCATATATGAGACTCATCTGTTTCTCAATAACATGCTGAGTTGAAGTTGAATTCCTAAAATGTGTGTACCAGTGTTGTGTCAAATAACAAAAAAGTTGTTTTTTATATTTAAAAATCTTCCAGTACATTTTTATTTGTTTTGCCTTATCTTTGGCTTTTAACAATATTGACTGGAAAACTATAACCAGAAAATCACTATTACTATCATCCATAGTAGCTGTCAGCCTTACTAAAATCCTTTTCATTTTAACACTAATATTATTTTTAATATCTCATTCATTACACAGTTTGTTGTCATAGTGAAAGACAAGTTACCCGGTAAAAAATTGAATTGGGTAGTATGACCCTTCACTTCAAGAGGAAAATCTTGTGGCTGCTTCACTTGTAGTTTTTATTAATCAATATTGAGTGTTGCATTCATCAGAGCCTTTTTTTATAGTTTATAGTACATGGCTATTTTATTCTTTTTACTTAATGCGACAATATTATATTGATTTTGTTTTAAAATTATAGATATAATAATTTTTAAATTTCAAGTTTTTTTGTCCAACTGCTTCCTATGTTTAATTTTCTTCCTATGTTTAATTTTCTTTCAGTAAATCGTGTCAATATCCTCAGTTACAGCAATTAAAAGTAAATCATGTCATCAATTAAAAGGGTATTGAATACTAGAGCAAATAGAGGGTATTAAATTTTAAATAATTTAATTTCCTCTTTAATGGCATCAAGAGTCCTGTCATGGTCTGCTTACATTTTTATTACATATTCTTGCACCCGTGTCAAAAATTTATTTGATATCTTTATAAAGTCTGTTTAAGAATCAAATGATTTTCTTTTAAAGAGATGTTTAATTTAAAATGCGAAAAAAAAAGACATAAATTAGCAATTTGCAACTTTAAAAGATGTTAAAAATGCAAAATTAAATGTTAAAAATGAAAAATTATTTATTGCTAAAAAATTGATAAACTTTTACTTTTATTGTCAATATCTTCTTAAAATATCACCATTTGTTGATCACTGTGATTTGTGAAGTTTTGAATTTAGCCTTTCAAATTTATCTATATTTCAAAAAACATTATTAAACCTTTATTCATTTTTTATATTATATATTCTATATACTCAAGTTAGTTATATTATATTTTCTGTATAATAGTATTAAAAAGTCATACTTGCTTATTTATAAATTTAAAATAGGTAGGTGTGAGAGAGTTAGAAACGTATAATTTATGTGAAAAACCATAAATAATTTATGTGAAAAACCATAAATGCATAATATTATTTCAGCAGTCTGTAAGTCTAAAAAAACCAAGTTTATGCATCATATGCACATTCCACAGTGGAATATCACTGAATCCATTTCCTGTGTGTTCTCTAATTTATGGGTCTTGTTCATTATTGTTTGTAAGTTGTTTTTATAAAATTGCTCTTTGAGCAGAAAGCTGGGTCTGAGCTGATGTTAATTGCTTTTTAAATAAAGATATGCATTTTAAACTGAGGTTTAAATTTTTTTTTATTTCTCAGCGATTAATAGATTGTCATTTCCTTCTGAGCAATAGTCAGATGTTTAAAACCTATATGTTCTTGATTAAATTTTTCCCTCAAAATTTTGAAATCCTCTTTATGCTTTAGCATTTTTGTGTTATATATTGAATATATTGTTATATAATTTTTTGTTATATATTGTCATATGTTAAAATGGAAAAACTCTATTTGGAGTTAGCTGGTCATCTTTGAACTTGGACAACACAAGTTGCAAATCAAAAGATAAAGGGCCAGTATTATAAAAAGAAGTAGCACATGATATTCAGTAGAATTAATTAGTTTAATAAAGGTTGGTAAAGGCAAATAAATTTAGATTATGAAATGGTTTAACAAAGACCTTAGTAGGCGCTATAATTTTTGCCATGTCAATATCAGCTGCATTCTTATTGAAAAACCAAATCTTCAGCCAATATTGTTACTGTTTTAGTAGATGCGAATTAATAGAAAACAAAACTTTTTTTAAGCATAGCTGATAAGAATTTAAGTTTTCAGAACTAGGTGGTTTTTCGAAGGCGGACTGAAAGTAATCCAAAATTTTGCATATTTTTTGGGGGGCAGTTTTAAATTTAAAGTTTAATTTCTTCAGATATTATTTCTTCATCTTTAGCATATAACTAATGGGTTGACTTTTTCTTTACTTTGCTAAGACTTTTGACATAGCAACGCATCAATAATTTATACATAAACTAGAAGTATCTGTTGTCACTGGAAAACTGCCTCACTGGATTGGTGACTTTCTTACTAATTAAAAGCAGAGAGTTGTTCTTGACAAGTACAAATCCAGCAGGGCAAACGCAGCTAGTAATGTGCCACAGGGTAGTGTCTTGGGTCCGCTTCTGTTTATTATTTATAAATGATCTTCAATCAGTTATCAATTACTTGTAAATTGTATGTTGATAACTTCAAAATCATAACTTCTATTAAAGAGGCTCCAGATTCAGACAAGCTACAGCTAAATTTAAATGCTATTGCTGAATGGTCTAACAAATGGTACAAAAAACTGATCTACAAAAAAGTAAATATTTGATGCTGCATCTTTCACCAACCTAAGTCTTATGAAATCTGAAAAGTGGCATGATCTCATCATTATCATCATGGGGAACAGTAAGTGGAGTTCACAATCTTCTGAAATTGCATCTAAAGCTAATATCATTTTAGGATGGATCAAAAATTGATTTGTCAGTAGATGCAACAAGCTTTAGAAAAAATTATACACTGTATATTAAACATATCCAGCAATGAGCTGCAAAGATATCTCATTGTTTAAAGCAATTTTACTATGAAAAACATTTACAGCTTCTTAATTTAAACATCTTAGAAGCAAGAAAAACTTGTTTCAGAGTTAAATATCATGGTTTTAGTGAAGTTTATTTAAAAATATTTATAAATATGTTTTTAGATAAATAAGACTAAATATTACATAAATTCTACAATATTATTACTTCTTACTCTGCAAATAGCAGGACTTGTATGTTGTACTCCATTTATCTCCTTACAGTGAATATATATAAATACAATATGTGTGTATATATACATATATGCTTGCTTTAAAATGTCAGAGATAGTAGATGTTATTTATTTTATAAACTTTGGTTTACAAAAAAATGTTTTTGTTACATTTATGATTCTAAAATCGTCCATTGTTAGTTTTAATCAAAAACAACAGCATAATTTAGTTTCTGTTTATTGGTGAACAATACATTCAGCCTATAGATCAAAGTAAGTATAAAAAACAATCCCAACAAAAAGCAGAGGACTCTTAAGTATTTCTTGAATAGAATTCTCAAATTCACATATCTATTTTTAAAAAATTTTTTACATTAACATAACTTGATAAACAGTTAAATATAGGGTTGGTTTATAAAAGTTATCTTTATGGAACAACACTTTTCGTTTCTTGTAAGCTCTGTTGAGTTTTCTGCTTTATTTCGTCTCAGATTTTATTACAGATCTCTTTTGAAAACTATATATTAATTTTTTTTTTAAATTACATAAGCTTCTTCATCATTATTAATAAGCAGTACTTTAAACTAATTTGCAATCTCTCTGCCTTGGTAGAGTTTGAAGTTCTAGTTTGTTTTTTTAACTTTTTCTACTTTTTCTAAAAGAAAATTTTTTATAATTTCCAACTTGTTTAAATAGAGTTACCAGTTACAATCAAGATTATGTACTATGAGTTTAAAGCTGCAGATATATCTATATCTAATCAATTTTTTTTTTACCTATTTTGTATTTCTTATATATATATATATATATATATATATATATATATATATATATATATATATATATATATATATATATATATATATATATATATATATATATATATATATATATATATATGTGTGTGTGTGTGTGTTTCTTTCCTTGTTTCATAGAGATAATAAAGTGAAAAAGAACTTTGAATGAGTTCATCGAAATTCTTTTATGTTTTTGTTGTATCTGAAACAAGTTAAATCAACATTTATTACTCATGAATGATATAGAAATTAAAAGATTTAATAAAAATTGAATTTTAAGCTTTTCCTACTGAACCCCGTTGCAGTGGAGCGGTTCACACATCATCTGATATATAATTTTTTAATTTTATTTTATATGCTTTATATATTTTTTCATACATAACTTTGCCAACACGAGTGAATATAAATTTAAAAAGTTTTTTTGATAATGTTTCTATTAACTTTTACCTTTACAATATTTTTATTTACAATTTTGACTGTTTTTATCTAAAAAAAAAAAAGTACTTATAAGAATTAAACCAATAATATATACAAATAACATGTTAACATCTTTATTACAAAAAAAACAATCAGTTGAATTCTTTTTTAAAAATAAGTTATCAATGATAAATTAATAGCTTATTTAATTTTCAACTTTTTCAACAGTTTTTTCTTTTTCTTTTACCATTCATAACAGAAGAAATTGAAACGTTTATCTTTACAAGGAATATTAAGAAAAGTTTAAGCCCTAATACTATCTGCACTTCAATTTTAATACTACCATTGATGTGCAATTAATAATAACTATTTTCGTAATAAAAACTTTAAATGAAATCTTACCATATATATATTTATATTGCATAGTTACTGACTTCTGACTACTGAGTTCTGATTTTTAAAATTGTGAGTTGCTTATCACTGATAAAAATTAATTATTTCTGGTTCCCAGATGAGGAGGGATAGTTTTAAAAAGTAATTTTTTTTTTTTATAACAGGCATTAAAGATTATCGTTCTGATAAAGTTGGTTTATATGCTACATCTAAGCAGCGGCCTATTGAGTATTTAGAGTTCTTAAAGAATCCAAATAAGCGTCAAAAGTATTGGGCGCGAAACTATTTAGCATGGCCAATTTTTTCATCTTTTCAACCAAATGTAAATCATCATTTTTTATCAGCTATGGAAAAACATGGAAATTTACATTGGCTTGTAACACAGAATGTTGATAGTCTTCATTTAAAGGCTGGATCAGTCAGAGTTACTGAGCTTCATGGTTCTTCTGCAAGGTATAAAATACATTAGAATGTCATTTTTTTTTTTTTACTTTATTATTTTTGTTTATCTAAATTTTTAAGGAAAAACAATTTCAATAAAAAGAATAAAAAAATAAGTCAAAAAAAGTTTTATAAAAATTAAAATTATTCTTATTCAACTGAAATGATAATTAAATACGAAAATGCATAAAAAAGTTTTTTTTTCTTATAAGTTGTAAATAATCTATTATTTGTTTTTTTTATTTTTAAATTATTATTATATTTATTTTTCAAAGAAATAAAAATGTGATAAATAAAAGTACATTGTTTAATCAACTTTATAAATTATAATGTTTAAAAAGTAATTAAAAATACTAATGTGCAAACTTTTAAAACAAGCATTTCTCAATTTATACTAATGGTCTGTAAAATATATACAAAATACAAGTGTTTTTAATGATTCTTTGTAAGCTTTTAAAACAAGTGTTTCTCGATTTATATTAATAGTCATACAAAATAGAAGTGTTTTTAATGATTCTTTATAAGCTTTTAAAACAAGTGTTTCTCAATTTATACTAGTGGTCTGTAAAATATACACAAAATACAAGTGTTTTTAATGATTCTTTGTAAACTTTTTCTCCCACTCTAATCATCAATAAGAAGTGCTTCTTTATGTTTTTAATAGCACTACAATGGCATCTCTCACACAATGACATCTTAAATTAACAGACTTCTAGGGCAAATCCACAAAACTGAATCCTTTAACTCAAAATAATTCCAAATGTGAATTTTTGCAACTTAAGTTTTTCCTATGACTACACACAAAATTATTTTTATTGTTTAAGGTAAAATGTGACACCAACTCCGTCAGATGCTAACACTTGGAAACCTTAATAAGATGTGGATAAAACTTTTGACTTATTGATGATGGACCACCACAATTTGTAATTGCTTAATTTGCACCTTGGATTTTTTTTTAATTGTATCTTTATTAAGCATTTTTTAAATACAACCTTTCTATCAATAAGCAATTTTTAAATTTAATATTTTATTAAGTAACTCAGAAATAAATAAATAAAAAATAAATGTATGAAAATATTAATAAATAAATATATTTAAAAAAAAATCATAATGAATTAATTGAAGTTCTAAGTTGAAAGCGGTTTAAGTGTCTTAAATGGCGTCAAATGCAAGAACATATGAGATGTTCACATTTAAAAGAATCATATGAGATGTTAACATTTAAAAAAATCCTCAAATGTGTAAAATGCTGAGTTTAAAAAATCCAACATTGAAAAATAATTATTAAGTTGGCAACAAAATACAGCAGAGTTTGTTTTTCTAATTTTTTTTAATCAAATTTATCTGCAAAAATAAATGCGAAAAGTGTAGGATGAGAGTAAAATAATTTTTTTTTATCTGACTTTGCATAATTAGCATATTTATTAAATCTGTCGACCATAGGATTTAATGCTTCTAAAAAAGAAAGAAAGATTACCATGAAAGAATAATTATATGTATGAACGCAATTTGCATTAACATTAGATTTGCATTAGATTACGTTTTATATTATCGAACTAATGAAAATGAAAATGAAATAAAATTATTATAAGTTAAATTTAATAGTAATTTAGTTTTCTTTTATAATTTTTTTTAATACATTTTTTTATATCAGTCTCTTGATCAAATGCAAACATTTTCAAGATCATTTAAATCTTCCCGTTTCATTCATAAAAAAGTTTAGGTAACCAAAGTAATTCAGCTAAATCAGGTTAATAAAAGTGAATTTAGTACCAAACTATTACCAAAGGTAATACTTTATTTTTAAATTTCATATAATAAAATGAGCGAATTCTCTTTGTTTTCTAAATAAATTAATTTTTTTTTTTATTAAGAGTGGTATGTTTAACATGCGGAAATAAAATAAGTCGAGTTGAACTTCAAAAGCAGTTGCAACATATAAATTCCAACTGGAGGTCCATTTCTTCCCTAAATGAACAAGGTCCAGATGGTGATGTTTTTATATCTGAATCTGATGCAAGTCAATTTAAAATGGTTGACTGTCACAAATGCGGCGGAATTCTAAAGCCTGAAATAGTTTTTTTTGGTGACAATGTTTCTCCCACAGTAAAAGAGTTCTGTTATAAAATGTTATCAGAGTGTGATGGAGTACTTGTCATCGGTTCTTCCCTTCAAGTCTATTCCAGCTTTCGATTTATTATAGCAGCAAAAGAGAAAAGAATCCCAATAGCAATTTTAAATATTGGAGAGACAAGAGGTGATCCATACGCTTATTTAAAACTACCTTATCGTGCCGGAGAAGTATTACCGAAATTGAGTTTGCAATGGATTACTTAGCAAGACTTTTAAAGTAGGTTGTTTTTGGTTTTATCTTGAAAATATGAGTTATAGATAATTGACTATTTTAATTTTTGTATTACGCATAAATTGTATATATATATATATTTATTAAGGTGGTCCTATACCATCAAACTTGTGTCACTAACGTTTGACCTTAAAACACTTATTACTGCATTTAATAGGATGCCCAGATATAAAAAAAGAAAAAAAACTAAAAAAATTAAAAAAAAAAAATTTACGGGCTTAATAAACCATGTTGGGACCCGAAATACCCCAATTACTGTTTCCTTAATAACTTTTAAACCATATTTACTCATTGAATAAAATTTTACAAAAAGTTTTGTTTTACTATGAAGAACAATTTGAACTAAAATCAATAAAATTTATTGAGTAGTTTAAATTTTATAGATAAAAAATCATTTATATCAAAAATTTACTATAGTTACGTTAGTTCTAAGACCAAAAATTCAAAAAATACAAAGTAAAAAACTTTCATTTTAGTTCGTTGTAGATCAAACCTAAACGAATAACTTGGGAAATTTTTAGATCAAACTGTAAAGTCTAGGAAATTTTATTCTGGAAACGGTGAGGAAAAATAGGCTAAAATCAAAAACTGAGAAAAAACGAAAATAATAAAATAAATAGAAAATAACAAGCATTAAAATGATATTACACATAAAAAAATCAATATGCTCCAGTCATATAAGACTCACAGTCATTTGTGTTTGTCTGTTCATCAATAAAACCCTTTCTTTTAGCTCTTAAAACTTTTCTTTGTTTTTTACAGAAACTACTTGACTTCTTGTTAGCTTTTTTTATTCTACATAAATCTCGTTTTGGACCATTTATGCAAAATGAAGCTCCAGGAGTAATGTTTAAAAATTTAAATACATTATGAAGTCCATTAAAACCATCATTAAAATGAATAATTGCTGAACAAACACCAATTTTAATTATTTTTTGACTGCAATATTGACTTTTAGGGCATCGAGACCAAATCATTGCATTAAGTGACTCATTGACATTCTGGGTCATTCCATGCAAACATTTTATCAATAAACTATCAGCACTTAGCTCCATAAAAATTGGTTTTAAAATATCTCTAATAGCAGCAGGCAGTGATAATTTAGGTTCATAATTTAACCTTTCCACTTCATTTAGTTTGTACCATTTGCACCAACTATCATTGGTTCTTGGACAATATAGATGTCTTTGAGCTTTAGTATCAGACTCACTACAATGAAGCAGAACTGCAATAATGGCTTTTTTCATGCTATAAACTTCAGAGTTTTGTCTGATGGACATGCCAAAGTAGTTTTGCAGTAAGTTAATAGCAGATTCAGTTAAGCGCCCTTTTCCAACAAGTTTTTTCCCATCTACTAAAACTTGTCCTTTCATACTCTGTCGTAGTGAACGTAGTCTATTCCCAAGTCTTTTTTGTATGTGACCAACACATTCAAGTTTATTAATAACAAAATCTTCACCATATGGCTTACTCTCTACAACTTTAAGAAATGAGCTGCTGTCACCATCCCCAACATAATTTTTATAACGCAAACCGTTTTGATGAATTGATCGATGAAAAATTGCTATAGCTCCTTGTGTCTCCATTGAGCCTGCTGAGCCCTTGTGGTTTATTGAACAGTTATGGCTGCTGTTCCATATTTGGTATTCATTTGTGCCTTTTTTATTACGCCATGACATGCAAGCTTGACACTTTTTTGAAAGTACTTCGTAGTCAATAACCTTATTGTTAGTACGAGATATTGCAGTAACAACACCATTAAGAGATTCATGACCTCTTTTTTGCCATGCCCTATCTAGAGATACAGTACATTCAACAACTTCATCTACATTAGCTTTGCATTCCCTAACTGCATTGGTCATACTTTCATTAGCAGCAGTCATGTATGAGTTTAACATTTTGTTGTTAATTTCGTTATAAGCTTTGAGATTTATAGGATCTGTTAAACTTAGTATACGCGAAAAGGTCTGAATTGATGCATGACCTTTGCCAATTTCTCGAAATGCCATAACACATCTAGTATTAATGTCAAAACATTTTTGACCACTTTTATTAGGTAAAATAATTTCTTTAGAGGTAAAAATATTTTTACTCCATTGACAATAAGTACAGGAAAGTCTCAGTTTATTTGCCCATCCTTTCTTTTCTGTTGTTAAATTTTGAGTACACATTCCCATTTGATTACATTCTGGGCAAACTGAATACAAACATATTGTTTCTGCCAAAATATTAAAGTCTATTAGCAAATAAGATATATTCAAATCTGCTTCCTTCACATTATTATTTTTCAATTTTAAACCACTTGCTGAACATGGAGCTTCATTTATAATGATTTCTGAAGTAGATATTGGATTCTTTATTGTTTCTAGTGGAGCAACTACAAATCGATTTCCATGAAATACTCTTTTTAAAGGTTTGTAACCTGATTTTCTTCGACCCATAAAAAAAATTTTAACTCTAGTACCAATTTACTAAATTCAAACAAATTAAATGAAGCACGAGGTTAAAGTTAATTTGTTCTTGCAAAGTATAGCCAAAAAATGAGTTTAAAAGTTGGCAAACTATACTTTAAAAATGCAGTGTTAACATTTCAAAGATTCATTTTAGCAGTGGGTAAAAAAGATCAGCAAAAACTTTTTTGATTTTGAAATTGCCGTTGCTAGGGGCGTAACTATGGAAAACATTTTCAGTACTTTGTTTAAAATTAAAAATATACCAACTTGTGCTCTGAATTTAGTTAAAACTATTAAAAAATCTTAAACTAGTATAAATTTTGCACAAAATTAAGTAAAAAAAAAAAAATTTTCTATTTTTAATGGTATAGGACCTTAATGCTGTATTTTAATATAGTTTTAACCATTTTTTTGACTTTATAAATATACTTATAAAAAGTAATTAATAATTTTGTATTATTTTTTTACTGTAAATCATTTTCACGGATCATAAGAAATATATAATAAACATATAACATATAACAATAACATATAAAAAATAAGTTTTAATAATCCAAAAAATCTCTTATCTTTATTTGAATCTATATTTTAGTATATATTAAAATATTAAAAAGTGAAGATTTTTCATTCGCAACTTTTTAAAGAAGTGAAGAAAACCTTGGTAAAAAAAATCAATATTAAATAATAAAAATTACAAATTTAAAAATAAAAGAACTTTTTAAGAAGCAATTGATCGAAGAGCTAGTAACCGTTTGTAAAATTTCATCGGAGTAGCTAGTAACCGTTTACCAGGCATCGTTGTATCAACTTAGGAAACGGCCTAATAAAAATATAAACATGATTGCAGGATTTGGAAATATTCAAGCGCTTACTGATTTTACGACTGCTCGTCTTCTTTTTATGTATGCTCATGGCCAACTATAATTATTCGGCTGGGTTTGTAGCTTTTTACGACCTAAGACTATGAAGCCAGTTTTTTGAAAAAAGGTTTTCGGATTTTTTACAGAATATACTTAAATAATAATTTTAAAAAAATTTAGTATTACCTAGCTGGATTTTATTTTTTGATTTACCTAGCTAGATTATGTTTTTTAACATGGTAAATTGTTGAAATCGCAATCTACATTCTACTCCATGGTTTTTGCCTTCTTGTGCAGCAGCTATATCTAATGGTAATCATTTTTTTAATGCTTTTTCAAGCAAACAACTCTCTTGAAAACAAACGCCTTTTTATTATTGCAAGAAATCAATGTAAAAAGATGTTGTCTGATGCTAGGCTCCATTATTTCAATTTTACTAAATCTCGTATTCTCACTAAATCTCGTATTCTCACTAAATCTCGTATTCTCACTAAATCTCGTATTTTCACTAAATCTCGTATTCTCACTAAATCTCGTATTCTCACTAAATCTCGTATTCTCACTAAATCTCGTATTTTCACTAAATCTCGTATTCTCACTAAATCTCGTATTCTCACTAAATCTCGTATTCTCACTAAATCTCGTATCTTATCTTAAAAGTTAGGCTCTAGAGACTTTTAAAAAATTTTCAACAGCATTAACAAAGCGTCATTAACAAAACTAAGTACAACAAACGGCTATTTATTATTGCAAGAAATTGATGTAAAAAAAGGTGCTGTTAGATGCTGACCATTATTCTCAGATCACTAAATCTCGTATCTTATCTCAAAATTTAGGCTTTAGAGTCTTTTGGAAAACCTTCAACAGAGTCGTTAATAAAGGTAGGTCTAACATCCAATCTCTCATTCATGGGACTGATCTTACTAGCTCTCCTAAGAATAAGGCAGAAGTATTTGCAAAGAACTTTTCTTCTAATTCGACTCTTGAATCTAAAGGCCATACTCTTTCTGTCATTCCAGTTAAACAGGTTTACGCTTTGTTAGTCATTCAAATCACTCCAGCGTCCGTTGCTAAAGTCATACCTCAGTTAAAATCTTCAACGGCTTGTGGTCAAGACAACATTACTTTTATAGTCTTACAAAAGTGTTCACCAGAACTCGCTTAAATTCTCTCTAAACTATTTAATAAGTGCCTGACTGAGTCATTTTTTCCTGCCTGCTGGGAAATGGGATCTGTGGTTCCAATTTTACAAAAACTCCGAAGAATATTCTGACCCCTCCTATTTTCGTCCGATCAGTCTTCTTTCTTTTATTAGCAAGGTCTTTAAGTCTAATCAATAAATTTTTTATATGGTTAGTTTATCCCATCTTGAGTCAAATAACTTAGGGGAGAACCTTAATGAATGGGACAATTATTGAATGGGACAAAATCAAATTTGCATAGAAGCATCTACGGTTGGCTATCCAAACTCCTGTGGTAATAAGTGTTTGACACAACCATTCAACAGACTAAATCTTTATTTCTATTATGGTCTAAACGTAATGGCATTGGATGTTATTGTGTTTTGAAGAACAATATGTAATTTTTAAAAACAATTTTCTGTGTCTGATTTTGCAGCGATTACTAAAGTTAAGTAAAATGAAACTCCAATTTTCAACACCCAAATGTCTCTACTTTTTAAATTTGTAAAGTATTTTTGTTTAGGTATTACTGTTTTTAACCTGTCCTGTCATTTGTGGATATAGTGGAAAGCCTATTGAATGGGACAAAGTATTGATTATTGAATGGGACTTGTCCAAACAGCCTGATATGAAAAAAGTAGAAAAATATATTTCGGCAACTTAGTTATGGTCACACATAATTTTATTTTTAATAAAATTTTTTGTTTTACTAAAAACAATTATTCGTGTTTTTAATTTAATTTTAATATACATATATTTTTTAATAAAACTATTTTAGGTTTGTCAATATATGCAGACATTCGGCCATATTTATAGCTTTTTCGGGTTCCCTAAAGGTAGAAACTACCCTTACTGCTTGACTGGCTTGAAAGTTACTTAGGACCTCTCTTCTTTTATTAATTTTTTAGATTTGTCCCATTCAATAATTTTATTTGTCCCATTCAATGAGTAGTTCTTAATGAATGGGACAAATGCCATGGTCTTATTAAACTCTCTTTT